TTCCCCCTCCCCACAAATAACCATGTCATTAATTCTTTTCAGTGTCACAATGGGAAATACTCGAAGGATATTACTTTGAATTTAAGAACTTAAAAGCAAATTTTCTTCATGACAAATGGTTGTAAATCCAGCAATCTTCTTTCTCTCGGTTTAAGAAAGTAAGACAAACAGGTAGCATAACAAACTGGATTTACTAAAAACTTAAGAATAAATTTTCTTCATGATTCAGAGGTACAAAATCAGCACTTTACTTTTTCTAAGAGTTAAGAAATTTAAAAAATTAAGAAATTCAACAAGACAACTCTCAATATGTAATAAACTTGGCAGTAATGCATTTCACGGCCTGAAATTCTTGAATCTCTATGTCCCAAGGAAGACAGAGCCCTTCATACCTCTCCTGGTGCAAACGCATTGAGCCAGAATAGTTAAGAGAATGCACCTTCTCCAGAAAGATTAGATGCTGAATGTCAGGGTCTGGCTGCAAAGCAGGCAGAAAAAGTTCATTTTTATGCTTTTTAAACTAGATCTTGTCTTCATTACAACCTCACAGCCAGAGCCAACAGAATCAGTCCTCCAGGGGGCAGGTAGGCAGGAGAGGGAACCAGGTTAGGGTGGACATTTCATATTGTCACTCTTTCATTTAAAAGAAAAAAATATATATGAATATGAACATCTAGAAGTCTGAAAGGAGAAAGTTACAGAACAACAGTGTGCAGCCTAAACTCAACAATGTCTATGACCTTGGACAAGTTATTTGCCTCTATCTTCTCACCTCTAAAACTTCACAGACAAAATATCATATAGAAAGCTCTTACTGGTACATGGTAAACACTCAACAAAATCTTTTTTCCCCACTAACCGTAACAAGAAAGAAGAAACTTTATGGAATGATTGGAATGCAGGGTATAGTCTTCAAAAATGGTAAGCATTTCGGCCGGGCGCGGTGGCTCATGCCTGTAATCCCAGCACTTTGGGAGGCCAAGACGGGCAGATCACGAGGTCAGAAGATTGAGACCATCCTAGCTAACACCGTGAAACCCCGTCTCTACTACAAATACAAAAAATTAGCCGGGCGTGGTGGCGGGTGCCTGTGGTTCCAGCTACTTGGGAGGCTGAGGCAGGAGAATGGTGTGAACCTGGGAGGCAGAGCTTGCACTGAGCCGAGATCATGCCACTGCACTCCAGCCTGGGCAAAAGAGCGAGACTCTGTCACAAAAAAAAAAAAAAAAAAAAAAGTAAGCATTTCTAGGCCAGGTGCAGTGGCTCACACCTGTGATCCCAGCATTTTGGGAGGCCGGGGCAGACCAATCACTTTAGCTCATGAGTTCAAGACCAGTTTAGGCAACATGGTGAAACCCTGTGTCTACAAAAAAATAAAAATAAAAATAAAAAAAATAAGGTAAGCATTTCTATTGATGAAATGGAAGAGTAGGGCATTTGAGGCAAAACGTAGAACATAAACGTGAAACCCAGGGATGGGTTTTATAAAGAGCTGTAGGCCTGCCTACTAGGTTTGATTGGAATATGTTAGAGTAAGAAGTGGAGTGGAGTCATTTTAGGGAGAATCTCTGAAGGCCAAGCTAGAGTCTAGAATTTCACTTACACAATGGGCACAAGCAACTGTTTCTGAGGGGGAAAGTTGCATGATGAGTGTTCTCTCATGAGGAGTTAAGCTGCCTGATGTCAAGTGGAGAGATGGTTATCATGAACCTGCACCTCTGTTATTACACAGTTCTCTAAATATGGGAGGTTGGGTTTTGTTGTATTTCAACATTCCTCTTTAATAGAGAAAAAAATACACTTCATACAATACATGAACTGATTCTGAGGAATGTGATAACTTAATTTTGCAGGTGAAAATCTGAAAAAGAGAAAGAGGAAGGGGGGTGTGTGTGTGTGTTGGTGGTGAATGCTAAAGCCATGAGAGGCTGAAGGGCTTGTCTTCTTATGCCAGGAGCCTTCGTGTGATAAAGCCATTGCTCTCGTATCTCAATGAGGTTTTTTTTTTTTTTAAACACACTTATTTACTGACCCATAAATCTCTACAAACTATAAATCTCTATAAACTATAAATTTATGACCATCCTTTTTATTTTAAACTATATGTAACTATTTATATTTACATATAAATATATAACTATATATTTATTTTAAACTATACATTTGTATCTCTATAAATTTATAAACTATAAATCTCTACAAACTATTTTACCTAAATAGACCAGACTCATTTTAATATCATATTCTCCTTAGCTAGAACTCCAAATCTCATTCTGTGGTACACCTCCTGAAATTTTTAGGACCCAGTGTGGAAAGTAACTTGAAACCAGCCAAAATGCAGAAACAACTCCAGAAAAATCATAGCACTATCAGGCACAGACAATACATAAATAAATTCATATCAGAGGCATTGAAAACTCAATACAGGACTGGCAAGGTAGCTCACACCTGTAATCCCAACAATTTGGGAAGTGAAGGTGGGAGGATCATTTGAGGCCAGGAGTTCAACCCAGCCTGAGCAACATGATGAGGCTCTGTCTCTACAAAAAATTTAAAAATTAGCCAGAAATGGTATAGTCCCAGCTACTTGGGAGGCTGAGGCGGGAGGACAGCTTGAGCCAGGACTTCAAGGCTGCGGTGAGTCGTGATTCTGCCACTGCACTCTAGCCTGGGCAACAGAGGGAGACACTGTCTCTTAAAACAAAAACAAAAAATCCAATACAGTTTCAGAGGAGCATTTTGCCAATATTTAGAGATTATGTGCTAGGAAAGATTATACCGAGAAAAGTAAAAAAGGCACCCTTGCAGGAATGTACAAAATTAAATCAGCAGATAGAAATTATATGTTATCAAAAATATGTGATAATCTGAACTACAAATACCAAACAAAATACAAAACCAGGAATGGGAATTAAAGAAAGGTTTTGTGTGTGTGTGTTTTATCAAAATTCTCCTAGAGTTGTTTAAAATGCAATCGGTCCATTTGTTCTGAAGGATGCTGACAAATGTGTAATTCTCCTGAGGTCCACCATACTTGAAAGTTAATTCACCCTTTCTCAATTCCTCAGCATGGGTGGTTTTCTGTTACAGAAATACCAACACTAAACTTGTGCAACTCCTAAACCACAATATTTAAAAATAAGAAAGTTACTGGGGCTAAATTAGGAGACAAGGGTCACACTAAAAAAAATTAATTTTAAAGCTACCACACAAAACACGAAGTTTACCCCTTTCAAAGGGATTTCCTTGAGAAAAAGCGTATGAGATAAAATATCAGGGGCACATGGCGATTTTTTTAAATTTAAACTTTACGTGGTCCAGAGAGGACAGTTAAGATTTCCTGTGTGTAGGCTCCACCCTTCTCCCGCGAGCAGTTTTACAACCTTCCTCAGCCCTTTCAGAATAACAGCCTTTTGTTATGGGTGGGCCTAGGGGTGCGCTCCTCCCTCATACCTTCTTCTATTTTCTCCTAGTTTTGCATTTTTTCTGAGACTACCAGGCGTGGGCTGGCGGGGGAGTGGTGCTGGTTTTCGGCTGACGATCCGGGTGGGTGCTTTCCCCCTAGGCGGGATGACACAATGAAGCAGGGAGTCCGGGCCAGGGAAGGAGGAGGAGCACGCAGTGAATCTCCGACCCGAAAACCCACAGGCCCCTCACACAGACCTAGATAATGAACGCCCCCGCATCCCAACTTCTCTATTCACTACTTGCAAGCGCCCCCAGCCTAAGTTTTGAAAAAAGCAAATTTGACTGCCGAAGAGTTCAAGAGAAATGAACCGAAGAGACAGAGCCGTTCCCCAGAGCGAAGGGAGCTTCCTCTGAGCTAACTGCCAGAGGAATGCGGCACAGCCCAGCAAATGTTTAAAATCACGTCCTGTTCTGCCTCTTGTTTTCCAGAAAAGTGTCATTACTGTCAACTATTTCACAAGACAAATAAACCAATGAATGAAATATATCCTCCCCCCTCTTCCCAACGAAAACATTCTAGGGCTGAGCGGCTTCCTTCCTTCCTCCTCCTCACAGGAACCACATTTGCAGCACTGAGAAGAGTTAAAATAAGAAACACACAGTCCTCGAATACTACTTTTTTACAGTGCGAGAGCCATTCCCAGCCTACTACTGACTCCAAGGGCTTCCAAACGGAAGGAGTTCTGCTTTCAGTTAGCAACCTTTTTTCACGTACAAGCTCTGAGACACTGCTGGCCAGGGCCTGCTGGCTGGGCAGGGACAGCTGAGGGCTGCAGGGGCCGCAGGGAAAACAAACAGCACACTGGTGCACACGCAGGCTCCTGCTCTCCCTAAAAATATGTTCAGTAAAATATTGGACTCATTCAATTATTTAAGCCTTAAACAGACTCCAAGAAACCTGTAATTGATCCAACTAATCCAACCCATAGCACTGAAATGACAGTAACTGGCTTTCATTAGAAATTACAAAGCCCACTAAATGGGAAGTGCCTTCCCAACACATCAGAAAAATTAAAATTAAGCTTCTGAATAAAAAACTAATTTACCGAAGGCTTAGGAACAAAAAGACCACTCCCTCCTCCCCTCTGCTATTGTTCTACAGGACTGGGTCTGAGCAGTGCACTTTACACCTTTAAAGCTTCCCAGAGGTAAGAGGCTGGGGGCTGGGAGCCAGTGGCGACCCGGAATCAAATACCTCCATACTTATAAGTCTGTAAGTACTGATCTACTAGGATGTAAAGTTAGCTAAAAGTAAAGAAAACGTGTGTGCAGCAGATATTTGACAACCTAGAAAGCCGAAAGGGTGCTGGAGAGAGAGGGACTCCAAATGGTGGCTCTTCTGGGGAGAAGTATGAGCAACTGCCTTCCCTAAGTCGTGAATGGGGTACCCGCAGCCAACCACAGGGTCTGGGGCCGAGCTGTGAAGCCGCCCGTCTTCATTAGGGTCACGTACCATATGGCGCAAATAGAGCCTCCAAGAACCCCCGTTGGCACGGCCCCAGGACAGGCCCGGCCTTTGGGAGGGGGCTTACCTTGCAGCTGCTTGAATCTGCCTTCCAGCTGGTTGTAGTTGTAAGGCACCTGCCCCGTGTACGCCGGCGACAGTGGCCCGGAGATGCTGGACGTCCTCTGCAATTCCATTATGCCCAGCGTAACGCCCGGGCGGACTGCGCCCTGGAAATCCCGCTCCAGACCCCTCCCACTCCCATCCAACACGCAGCAGCCTCCGCAGCGCACGGATCCTTAGGCGAACCCCATTCCGGTCTGCAAGTCCAGCAGGGTGATCTGATAGGAAGTTCGCTGCAGAAGAGTCCACCTTAGCCCGGCGAGGAGTTACCACACAGGCATCTAATTTCTTGGTGCTTTCCCTCCTTCCGTGGCCCTTGCCTGGAAGCTCGAAATAAATTACTGAGAAGGAGGAAGAAGCAGAGAGGAGGCGCAGGTTCTACTAAAGAATTCTTAAATATGGCCAATCCTAAGCATGCCACGGTTGCCGAGCCCGGGAGCTCGCGGGCGCAGCGCGCACACCTCCTCCCGGCTGCCCGCGGCGGCCGCCGGTTTGTAATTCTATCAGGAGCCACTCGCCGTGTGCTCGGCGGTGATGTCACCTGATTAGCATAACAGCATTGTAGGAGAAACGCAGGCTGTACCACGAGGAGGGGGGCGGGGGAGCCTGGCCGACCCGGGGCCCCCTGCCGGTCCTGCACTGGCCGTGGTCGCCCCAGCCGCCCGGCAGCCGCCGACTCCGGGCCGGGCCCTGGACTCGCCGCCGGTCCGAGCCTTGGTGGTGCCTTCCCACACAGAGCTGCTGGAATTACAATCTTTTGTTGAGCCTCATGTAACGGAAAAGTCTCCGATTACTATCACTTGAAAAGGCGAGCGTGCCCGCCGGACGGCCGGGAGAGTGAGGAGCCCCGAGGGTCCCAGGCCCGCGCGGTTCATTCACTCTCCAGCGTCTGCGGAGGTAACGCAGCCCGCACCTGGGCGCGCGCGACGGCCCCAGTGCGCTGGCGCCAACCACGCGGCGGCGGTCCGGCGCGCCACCGGGAAGAAGTCAGACAAAGTCACTCTCAGGGCGCAGTGCAGGGCCACAGACAGGGGAGGTGTAAGTTCGGGCTCAGTGAAGAATCTCGACTGACTTACGCGGCCATCAGGGGATATTAAGGCGGTGGTTTCCTGGAATAACACGGGCCTATGATAGGAATTCGACGCAAGGAAGATTTATGGGAACACCGATTTGCAAGGCATTGTGGGAAAAAGGTACACAGGTAAACACGGCCGAGATCCCTGACCTGGAGTTGTTTATGATCCGGTGGGGAGATGAGGGAACCGAAACTACCCTCAAATTCCTACTCTGATTTGTAAAACAAGGCCTCTAAAATTGTGGTCGTCCAAAAATTTAAATCTCTCCTTCCCAGCTTCTTCTCCCACCAATCTCAACCAAAAATGAAATCTTCTACATAGAAAAGAGAATAATCAAAATGTATTCTTGGAAAATCATTTGACTCTAGTTCTCCCCCCTCTCTCCACCCTCCTGTCCCCGCTTTTTCCTCACTACCTAAACAGGCACACAACAAATTACACTTTTGGCATTTCCACTTTGGAGCCCTGCAGCAATACTCACTGAAGAAGGTAATTTCATTCCTCAGGGATTCCAATCTGCAGTAAAGAGGTGGGCCCCCACCCCAGGTTCACCTCAGTCCCCAGGGCACTTGTAATTGATGTAACTGCATCCTGTCCAGGCTTAGAGTTAAAACAAACCCAGAGCCTACCTAACTGTTCAATACTGAACAACCCCCAACTCTTTCCAGCCACATAACTAGGTTTTTAATACTTCCACATGTCAGCCTTTGGCTTTTGAAAGCCAGGCCCAACCTGGAGGAGAAGACAACATTTCTTATCATCTAAGATGTAGAACATATTTTAAAGCCCCTAAGTGCCGCCAATTCACAATGCTGATGGGAGGCTAGGCAGGGCATTACAAAACATTTGGTCTTGGAAAAAGCACTTGACTAGGATTCCCAAGACCTAAGTTTCTAGTCCTGGCCAAGCCTCTTCATTACCCTGTGACCTTAGAAGAAACCCTGGATTCTTTCTAAACCTCAGCTGTCAGACTGAGTAATAATTAATGCCCACCTCCACAGGGTCACTGAGGAGATGATGTGGAAATGTTCTAAAAATTATCATACTTTCAAAATTAAAGAGTATATTCTTAAAAATGCACCCCTCCTTGCATCCCCCACCCACACACACACACACACACACACACACACCCCCATCAAGACTACAAAAGAAGTTAAATTGGGAACCGTCTCAATGAAGATCTTTTTAACAAGCCCTTCTTCACAACTAAGTATACTGGTGAAATGGTAAGTCTCTAAGTGTCCAGCTTTGGCCCTGAAAATGAGATTACAAAGTGCTTTGCCAAATTATAACGTTTTATTTTTAATCTTTGGGCCACTTAATGAAGAAAGGGAGTTACCACTCATTATCTCCCTTTCAGCTCCCTCTAGTATGGGGTAGTACATGAAATACTTTTTAATTAACCAGGTTGCACATAATATGATGGCAGTGGAGCTGGGACGAGTGCAGCCACACTCAATCCTACAAAGTCAACACTGAATGAACCAGGCAGAGTGAACACATGCAAGTATTAGAAAGGTTTGGACACTGGGGAAGGGTTTAATAACCCCACATTTAATAACCCCATAGGGATCAGAGGTAAGAAATGGAAATCCATTTGGTGTGTTGGGACCAGGGAAGAATAGGACAGATCCCTGATGGCCCATATGACCACCTCCAGTTCAGCAGTGGGGAGGAGGTAAAGGAAGGCCAGAGGTATTCATTCTTTATTTCTTCAGTGTTTACTGCTCTGTATTTACAGTATTTAATGTATGCAAGGCACACTGCCAGGTGTTTTAGAGGATTCAAAAATGACCAGGAGTGTTGCTAGCCAAAGGAAATGGGACAAATGTGCAAACAGTAAAGTACCAAAAGAATACAGTAAGGGCCAGGGGAGGGCAGTTGTAAGAATTCAGAGGACAAGAAGGACACATCTGCCTTCTGGAGGAAGGCAGGTGGGAAGAACTCTAGGAGGGACTGGCATTTTGATCAGACCTTGAAACACATCAACAGGCTGGAACAAGGGAGAAGCCTCCTCTCAAGCAGCACAGTAAAAGCATGGACGCCCAGGAAACAGCACCAGCAAGTGCTGCAGTTTGGCTGGAGGATAAGGAACCGTCAGGCTGGGAGGAAAGCCCCAAAAAGCAAGTTAGAACTAAGATTGGTCTAGAGCCACTGGAGACTTTTGAGCCAAGGGAGTAGAGGGTGTGGGCTGGACTCTAGAGATGATTAATCTGGAAGTGGTATGTAAGAATAGGCAGAAAGGAGAGGAAATGAAGGCAGCAAGGTCAATGGGGTGGTTAGTGCAATAGTCCAGGTCAAAGGAGCAATCAAATGAAAAAGAATGGGCTGACGTAAAAGTTAATCCAAAGGACTTTGGTAACTAACTGTATGTGGGAGGATCAAAGGAAAGGGACAAAGAAGACTCTCGGGGTTTCAGAGCTGGCTAGAGGGGTGCAGGGGACAATTGCACATTTCCTTCTAGACAGGTGGAATCTGAGTTACCTGCAGTACCACTGGGTGACATGTCTGGAGCAGTCAGGGATGTGGAACTAGAGCCCAAAACTGAAGATACAGTCCTGAGTGCAGAGGTGGGAGCTGAGATAGTTGTGGGGTTAAATCTAGGAAAGGAGGTAAGAGGCAAGGGGCTAAGCATGGAGCCCTGGGGGAGGCTTGGGTCTGGGAGGAAGAAGAAAAACCAGTGGAGATGCCAGGGAGTTACAGAATGAAAATCTAAGGAGAGAGACTCAAAGAGGAAAGAGGGTAGATGGTCTTGAGTGCTGCAAAACAAACTAAAAAATAAAACTTAGAGAAGAGGCATTCAGTGTGCCAATTAGTCGGTCAACTGGGTTAATAAAAGCAAAGGCTAGGTTACAGGGAGTTAGAAAATGAGGAGAGAGGAGGAAGAGGAGGAAGAAGCTATGAAGATGAGACTAGTGAATGAGGCTTATCAGACTCAGGGGAAGATGTTCCAAAGCAGGGCCGAACTGAGCATGTCCTCTGTGCACAGGTTTCAGCCCTAAGTTGGCACAGGTAGGAAAAGGTCAGTGGGAAAATGGCTCAAAGGTATGGATGGAACAAATCAAGTGCTGTGGTCTGACTCAAGTCCAGAGTCAGGGACTCAGGCTTACCCTAATTTCTGAGTGCCAAGGAGCTATGTAATCTTGAGCATGTTTCTCATGTTCCCTGGGCCTCTCGATCTTTGTCCACAAACAAAACAGTTTGGAATCTATGGTCACAAAAAATTCCTTCTGGAATTTTTAGTATTAAATGTATTAGTGATTTGGGTTCACCTTTAGGTCCCAGTTCTAACTGCAGTCCCAGTTATCATCAATCTCCACATAAACTGAAAGGCCATATTAACCAGAACCATCATACTTGGTAGCTTACAGAATGCTTCCATATACATTTTCTCAAGTGACTAACCCTGTGAGGCAGGTGTGGTCTTCAGTTTGCAGCCAAGGTTGAGGTTCACAGAAATACAGTGTCTTGCCCAGGGCCCCAGCTGCTGAGTGGCACAGCCAACACATGGACCCCAGATCCACCAAGTCAGCGTGCTCCCCATCTCCCCACCTCTGCTGTTTCTCCTATATGCTCAGAGTATATCCAGCTTACTATGGGTTCCTAAGCTTTTCTGAAAAATCACATAAGTGGCATCACGATTAACCTTAAACCTAAGCAGGCCTCTACACGAACCTCTACAACATTTAGTTTTGAGTCAGGATTAGGCACATGCTCTGCTAGTTCACACAGAGCTTGCTGCTTGCAGGGTTCTGTGGTTCTGAGTGGGCTTTATTAGGTCTTGTTTGGTTTTGTTCCTCTTCTCATACTTGGTGGACCTGTACACTAAGATTCTGTATGACTTAGCATGTGGCAAGGTAAGATTAAGCCTCTGTTTGTTCTAAGAGGCTTTACACAGTCTTGAGGGGAAAGATGGATGCTTTTCCTGCATTACAGCAAGCTTGAGTGGGTGAAACTTTAGATGTTCATTTCCTGAACATCCAGACACTATCAAGACTCAGTATGTCTGGGAGAGGATGTCCAGAATGTCAAAATGTGATGGGATTTGTTCACATTCAACCTTGGGATTTGAAAAACCAATCCAAGAGCTGGGAAAGAAGTGATGGGAACAGGGAGGGACAGAAAACAACAAAGTTTCACACAGGATGTGTTTTGCCAAATTCTCTGCCGCTTTCTACTGCCATCTCCACAACTGTCTTTCATTCTTCATCGGTGTCAAGTCCGTTGGGATTGGGTGACCACAGCCAGTTAATTACTCCTAAGCATTTCTTTATAGGAAACCAAAACAATGCTAAAATAATCCTCTTCCATTAGCATGGCCAGATAGAAAAGCGGCTCCAAACCATGCCACTGCATTTATGCTGCACTAGGCACTGGTTTATATTA